TGTCCTTGTCGGAAGCTAGGGTGAATGTTGTGTATTTTAGTTTTTTTAAGTAATACTCCCTCTGTATCAAATTAGATGATTTTCTAGAGGTTTGTTTTTGTATCAAATTATATGATTTTTTGAGTTTTCAAGATAAATTAAATGTATTTTTATTTATTTTGACTATTTGTATTTTGCAATTTGATTTACTATTGGTTGAATTGTATTTAATTGAATGATAAATGAAGTTTTAATTTAGAAAAACTAAAAAAAAATAAAGTTTTCTTAATCTATGTGTAACATCTTTAAAAATCATTTAAAATGATACCAAGTGAGTAGTATGTAATGCACCGAGGCCCGAAGCTTTGAGATGGATCATTACTTGAATGTTAAGGTTTGGCTACCGTAAAATCATAATTGAATCTCATGTAAAAATAAACTGATCACATTGTTACAAGAGGAAGAAGAATGGGCTTCACGCTACTAATCCAGAAAATTAAGCAACTTCAATCCAACAAAGTGGAGTTCCAAACAAGGCAAGGAAATGGAGTGGTCAATAGAATAACAAGGAAAACCTTTTTATGTGGACAAAAGTTAAGCATCTATCTATCTGGTTTAGCAAAAAACAAAGTAGCACCGATGTTCCCCTCTCTCTCTCTCCAAACTGGATTAGAATCTTTTGTCAGGAATTGGCCACTCCTAAGTATCATCGAGATTCTACAATGCAGAATCTCTCTTCCTCCGTCGTCCACCACCAGTTATGTCTCTTCAGCTCCTCGGAAACCATTAGAGAAGCTAAGCAGCTTCACTCTTTATCTCTCAAAACCGGAACATTCATTCTCCCTTCCGTCTCTTCCCGTCTTCTCTCCCTCTACGCATCCCCACCCATCAATGACCTAATCTACGCTCGCTCTGTTTTCGATAGGGTCCAAAGCCCTTCTCTTCCCTTATGGAACATGATGATCAAATGCTATGTCGAAAACCATCGCTCACACGACGCAATCTCTCTCTTCTGCGATATGCTCACTGATTTCTCCCCCGATAACTTCACATTGCCTTGCGTCGTTAAGGGCTCTTCTCGTTTGGGCGCGGTTGAAGAAGGGAACCAAATTCATGCGCTTTCGATGAAGCTTGGTTTCGGGTTAGATAAGTTCGTCCAGAGCAGCTTCGTCAGCTTTTATTCCAAATGTGGTTTGCTCGATTGTGCTCGCAAGGTGTTTGATCAAATGGGAGAGAAAGATTTGGTAACTTGGAATTCTTTGATCGATGGTTATGCTCGTAATGGCCATGTTGAAATG